ACAAGTATTTCCTTTCTTGTTTTTGGCGGAAATAGCTCAACGGAGTTGAAAATGTCAAATTAAGGCCAATACAAAGGAGAAGTTATACATTCTGTTCAAGTCGATCGCATGAGGCACAATCCAACACCGTCGCAGGAAAATGCCACTTCTGGTGAATCCAAGAATCATCCATAGGAATTCCCAGGAAAAGAAAGGAACTGCACATTTTCCGGCAGACAGAGGGGCTGCCGGCATCTCACCATGATGTAGATGTGCTGGGGGAGTGTGCGGGTCAGGGTCGCCTGGATGGCCGGGTTCAGGGCCTCGTCCGAGCTCAGGATCTGGATGCGCGGCAGGGCCACCTGCCCCGCCAGCAGCGGGTACAAGGTGAAGTGGAACCTCTCCTCGCTGCCGGGCAGCAGCCGCAGGAACATCTGAAACACCGTGGCTCGTCTCGCTCAAGGAGTTCGTCGAGTGTATGCAGAAATTAGGGAAGATGAAACCCTATGCAGTACTCAGGAATATCCTGGGCAAAGAATCATTCCAAGGACTATTAAGGTCAAATGAGTATTGAAAAGACCAAAACATATTCATGTTCAAGGACAAATCCAATTAATATTCATGCCCAAGGACAAATCCAATCAATACTCATGCCAAGGACAAATCCAATTAATATTCATGCCCAAGGACAAATCCAACAAATATTCATGCCTTTTAACTACTCGAAGGTATATGAAGGGTACCGAACTACAGTATTTAAATGAATGAGTGGGACTGTGACACATTTACACAATACAGTTAAAGAGTAGGATGCAAGGCTGTGGAATATGTACACTGTTGAGGTACTCTTGCTGGTGATCGCTTGACTCGCCGAACTCAATTCGCCAACTACGACTCGCTGAATGTTCATTTCGTCGAATGACGACTCGCCGACTGCTCAACTCGTCGAATAAAGACTTAATAAGTCAATATTAACCAATGTTAAACTCGGAAGCTTAATTCCTCGGAATTTAAAACTCTCCGGATATTCAATTGCCTGACTTAAAGAAACATTGTAAACGATTTTTGCTTGGTATATGGTAGCTGAATTTGTCAACACCTGAAAGAAGTTTCAAATAATTAAGACTGATGGATTTGCATGTTCCTAAGGATGAGGTGACAAGAAACATTGAAGTCATTCAGCTTCTTGCATAATTTTTTTCTTTCAAGTTCAGCAGAAATATATTTAAAGAAAAACTAATTATGAGCAATACTCATCAAGTTACTCATCAAGTTCTAGGGAAATTCAACACCTTCCACCCAGAAACGACAATTCTACCGTTCATATGACGATATTTCTTTGGGACATTCGAGGCTAATGCCCAGCCCCAAGGCACTCCGATAGAGCTGCTATAGAAGCTTCAGCGCCAGGGCTCGCACCAAAGGACAGGCTTTGTTTACTGAGCCCCTGAAGGGGAAGGGGAGTATTCTCCTCTGGGGAGGCCAGCAATGGTAAGCTGGTACTGCGATCACAACGAAGGGGGAAACAGGCTGGCGGCGACGACCACCTCTTCCAACAACTCCAATGTAGTTGGACCCGAAATCTCGAAGCTGAGCTATAGGTGAATTATAAGTCGGCGAATCATCATTCGACAAAATGAACTTTCAGCGAGTTGTCACTACGAAATGATAGGGAACACATGCTGGCCTTCCCAGCATAGTGCAGTATAAGCACTTGGAAGGAGTTTTCTGAGGAATGCTTCCAGGTTTCTACCTCTAGCATTAAGCATTGTGCCAAACAGTACATGTCTTCACTTCAGCTCCAAAGTTTCTCAAAATTTTGCTAAAAATACAAAAGTCCACATGATCAAAGCACCATATATTGCATCCATGAGGCATGGCAATAGAACTATCGGAGGATGCATGGTTGGCTGTGGCATCTGTTACAGGAAAGTATAGTCTAAGCTACTACCACAAAACATTCAAGAGGGATAATGACAAATTTGCTCCTGGAGACAACTGAGACTAATAGGAGAAGATTAAAAGATGTGTACAAGATACTGAGAAGTGAAAAACGTGCACTGATGAAAATCATAACTTCCCTGCAAGTGAAATTCATTTACTACTTGAAACAGACAGTGATGTGTTTCATTATGATGCCATTGCAAGAAGTGGTGTTAGGAAAGCACGAATAGGGGAAACCAACAAAACTTGAACACTCCAGGAATGTGCAACTTGACTTGAATGATCAGGCTAAAGGTATTGGCTACTAGTTGGACTTGCACTCTGGTGATTAAATTTATCTCCCAGTAGTTGCCCTGTTTTATGAAACATGCCGTAGTGCTGGTTTCGTATGAGATTTCTATTGTGAGAGTAAATAAGAGCATGAAATCTGAGTGCTCTCAGATACTGCATATGGAACAATCATGTTTCAGTTATAGGGTACCTCCATGAAAATTGTTTTATAGAACTAGGGGTTCATGCCCAATTTAGAGTAAGAGTGTCTTCAGAAATAAGCTAATTGTAGGGAAATATCCCAGCAGTTTGGACTGATAATCTCGCAAGACATAGACCTGAATGCATTTTCAGTTTAAGGTTGCACATCAACAGGTTGACACAAGAGTCTAATAGTATGTTCGACTCCCGGTTGATGCATGTATGAGAATGATTTGGAACAAATCAGCATGCAGCTTCCCAGCAGCAAACTTCACAGCCTCTCTTTCAATGGAAAAGAAGACGGATCTCATGCTTCAATGACTATAATTACCATAACCATCATTTATGGATGTCCCCAAGTTATTATTTCTCCTAGCTGGCGACCATGAAAACATGACAATGCAAGAATATAATAGGCCTTTTCTTGCTGTGGGCATTGTGATGTACATTAGTCTACATTGGTCATTTCACAAAATGTCAGCAGCCAAAACAGTTGCAAATGAATTTCTGATTTCTGATTTTTATTAAATTTGTAATACAGAACTCCCCAACCCCAAAAGCCAGAAATGATTCATTTCAGACTCATTGGGCCAGAAGGTAAAATATTACAGGGTGGTCAATATTTAATGTCACCAACTAACTTCCGATTTTGATAAACCAGTAAACTCAAGAACTATTTAAAATAGAACCCAGACTAAACCTGTCAATGCAATGAACGATCATGGACCATATGAACAAATCTGGCTGACATTAATCACAAGGGCTACTCCAGCTGGCTGTACAGAATATGAGGTGAGAAGGAGGAATTAAACATTCGAGTCTTGGAGCGTATAAGTTTGACTCAGAGAGAAGTTGTTTGAGTCACGTTACAACAGCTATGATTACGGTCTGTTGCATTTCGGGGGACCAATACACCAGTTTTTCCTTGCTGATGAAAAATTCCTATGAAGACTTGATCCTTGAAAACAGGTAGTTTCAGAGAGGGAAACAATGTGATTGCCCCCTGGGCTGGTCATTATAGGTTTTGAAAAATGCAGGATGTGATAATCAGATGGAAAAATAGTTAGAGTTTTGTTGGTTTCCCCTATCATGAGAAGAGAAAGAAACACTCTAGTGACCTGCTTGTGGCCGGCAAACATGAAGGCTTCGGAGGCATCAGCCGAGATGGTGACCTCGAGCACGGACTCCCCCGGGTTGGCCAGGGTGTAGGAGATGGTGAATGGGGTGCGCACAAGACCATAGGTTGGGAGCTCTGCTTCCACATGGATCACAGAACCCTTCACAGGTGGAGCTTCCAGACTCAGCACCCAAGAGCTTGGTGGTAGGTCTTCCCCACTCAACCTGGACCAGGAAAGTTGTAGAAGTGGTAAAAGAAAACATCCATTCTTAACATTTCTGCAAACAATCATGAGGCAAACAAAATTGCAATAATCATGGAAGAGGCTAATACAAGCTGTCATGTAAGTAAGTTTATCCTATTAATGCACCAAAAGTTAAAATCCTTTGCTTTTCGGTATGTCTATGAGCAATTTTAGCAGTAAACAAATATAGTCTTGAACAAGATTTAACAAGACCAAACAAGAATGATAACTGGAAACACAACAATTAAACATAGGTTAGTAAGAAATTAGGGTAGCTGAAAATCCTTAAGTAAACATGCATATGGCCACCCAGTATATCTGTAACTTTTTTCCCAACTTCTTGATTTCTTCTGGCAGTTTTATCTGGAGCACCTCAGGATAAAAATCAAAGGGATACCTTCAAGCTCCAGAGAAAATAACATTTTAGTTGAAGAAGTTTCATATGATGAGAAACACAACTAAAAGCAGTTCCAAGTTGCTTAACCCTTTTAGGACATCCCTGTCATGAGTTAAGGATGGTCTTCCTCTGACGGATTTTTAAAACAAGCAACAAGAGACAACAAACTCTGAGCAATACTGCAAGCCAATATTTGAGAAACAATTTCAAAGGATGCTACTGCTGAAGTGCTACACAGTACTCAATATGAGCTAGCACTGTCCAAAGCTCCAGTACCTGAAAAAAATTTATGAGTTCAGCTCCTATTCTTTATGTCTTACATATTCTTCATGAATGAATATTTGACAAGTGAACCTAATAGGTTTTTTTCATGCTAGGAAATCAATGTTTCTTTTATTAAATACTCAGATAAAATATCTTGATCAATCAGGCATAGAAAAAAACTGCAAAATGATAGGCCTTTCGGCCTCCATTCACATGCATTAAACAAAGTTTCTCTAGTACTTCATTTCCTAAAAATAAAGCACTGGTGCTATTCATGAAAGTCTAACAAACCAAAGCTGTCACTTGGACAGCTGGCAAATATGGATCCTTGTTCCACTTCCCCACTTGGCTGAGTGGACCCTACATGCTTCATATCCTCTAATATGCCATAATCAAAATGGGGTCTGAAAGAAGTCTGATGCTGGTGGCAAAGCCCAAAGCAACATAACAAAGCATGAGTATCAGCAATGAGGCTCTTGACTTTCAAGATGATGAGTTACTCAAATGAGTTACAGCATCATGTGTTATTCCAGGACTCAGCCAATTCTACTTTGCATCAAGCCATTGGAAACATGAATGATATATTCCATCCTCAAAGTAACAGAGCTGTGGGTAAACAAGAAACCTCAGTTTATTTGTTAGATGGAACGACTTGGGTGTCTGTTGCCTAGGTGGAGACTCATCACATCATGTTTCAAGAAGGCCGAATTGAGCTTCAACAGAAGTTGAATGACCTTGGAATTACAGAACTCTCTTTCCCATCAAAATGTAGATTGGGAGGGGGGGGAATCCTCTTCAGGCTGCCTTCAAAGCATCCCTGGGAATTTTGCCATGTTCTCTTCAAATATTTGTTCTTCCGAGAAACTTGGCTTACAAATGCAGAAATGCAGGTAATACGGAGAGATCGTATGACTTCAACAATCACTCCATTTATTTTAACTTTGAATCACTCTCAGGATGGTACAGCAATTTTAATCCAAGAATTTTTCAGGAATTCAAATTGATCTATATTTGGACAAGCATGGGAAAAAAACACCTGCAAAAGGGAGCGGGGATCACCTGTTCCAGAAAATGGTGTGCGTGCCCATGGGTGTGGGGTTGTCGGCAGGTATGCTGGGGGTGACAGGGATGATCTCTGATGCCACTTCCTTTGGTCCAATCACCACTCCCTCTAGCTGCTCTCGCCCCACAGACTCCTTTGTAAATGCCCTCCGGTTCTGCCAATGTAGCATGCACAAAGAGGTAAAGTTTCTCACAGAGCATGTCCATGAGACTATTTTGAATGTTATCATAAACTCAAGTCAAGATGTGGCAGGATGATATAGGTTCATGATGAAATATTTGAGAAGGAAATGTATTTCCTATTGGAATCTCACATTCTTGATTATATTTGAAATGCAAACACACATTAAAGAACATTATTTATAAAGTTGGGCATAAAAGATGATCTCAATGCAAAGAAACACTCATAGGCACAGCCTTCTCATCTAAGAGTTTTCCAAGGAAGGATATTCGAACGAACCAGTTTGGACTCCGTTCTGCCAAGGCGGAGAGGGAATGGGGACATGTTGGTGAGGTGGAGGAGGAAGAGAGTGAGTTCCCCAACGTGCAAATGTGAGACCTCCTCCATCCCCGGGGACAAGCTCTGCACTGCCACTGACAGGCATGGGACGCTCTGCACCTCCACCTTGCACTTTGAGCCACAAGCATACGTGAAGGGCTCACCTTCTCGCTCAAGCGTCACCTCGTATGACACCTGGTTGGGTTGGGGGAGTGGAGTGCATTAAATTATAAGGCGGCCCATTATGCTTGATCATGAAACATTCTGAATTATGAAAAACATGACCTAAAAAAATGCCTGCATAACCATGATGATACACACTTATCAGTGGATCATCAGATACCAGAAGCCAAGCACTTCAAAGATGTCTTTGACAGAGCAAGCTCAGACCTGAGCACAGAGAGAGAAGAGCCCTTCCTGGAAGGCACGTATGTGGGCAACAATTTCTATGGAGGCACCAGGAGCCAAGTCCTCCAAGCTCATTGGCTCCAGCTGCAGCTCACCACTCTCCTCTTTTGGCTTCCCCCACACCAGAGACACTGTTGAATATCACAAATCCAAGTTTGAGTCCAGAATATTCATGATTACATGGCAGATAATTGAATACAGCTTTCAGTAACAACAGTTGCACTTTTCTTATGGCAAGTAAAATGCACTCACTCTGTTTGCTCACTTTTCACAACTTCAGCACACACAAGGCAGGCTTAAATTCCTTGATGTCATCCTCACACAATAATTTTGAAGTCAAAAGAAAAGCCATGAAACTGATGAAAACCCCACAGGATGTGCATTCCTTTTCAAGTTGATGACATGAAGATTGTGGGCAATAATGAATGGGACTCACAGGCAGAGAACTGGTCCTCAGCATCTGAGAGGCGGGACAGGGAGAGGTGGAGATTGCGTACAGTCGCCGGCTCTTCGCTCTGCAGCTGCAACTTAACAGGATACCACTCTCCCATCAGGATGGGTGGGTTGTGTTCCATCACCAGTGAAACCAATGCTGTCCGAGCCTCCACTGATGTTGTCCTGAACACCTCCAACATCTTCAGGTCATTCACATCACGTTTGTACCTAAAAACAGAATGGATGATGAATCTTATGAATATAAACTCATTACTTGTCATGAATTCTTATATATTTAAAGTATTTTTGAAGGTCACACAAAGGTTAAGACTGTTCTCTGAACATTTAGTAATGAATAAACTCATTAGATTGAATTGGCAAGTCCATATTAAATTGTGAGCATCATCTCCTTTGGTGCATGGGCAGATCAAATTGGGAATAAAAATTAACTAGAAAAAAAAAAATTGGTATATCCCACTCCTGCTTCACACCACACATCCACAAGGAATCAAAGCAGAGTCTTTATTTGTTGGTTTTCTGCCCTATCAGCATCACATTCTTTCCTGTGCAGTCTGGAGTTTAAGTCTGACATATCTGTATTTATAAAGCTTTCTTGGAACATTGATATTCTTTATATGGTATTAACCTTCACACAAAACTTCTTGTTTTTCTTCTGGCGTAAAAAGAACATGCAATCTCATATCACTTTCAAAATGCAAGGGCTTTGAGAGGGCATTATAACAGGGTGCACAGTATGCATCAAAAGCAAAATTTTCAAGTGTACTAAAAGTGCTGAATTGATGTATCACTCCATAACCCATCATTGATAATCATCAGGCAAGATACTTGCAGAGATGATCAGCTTAAGGTTGATTTTCTAATGGAACACAACGCTGCAATGCACTTTTGCATCTACCTATTGTGCTTACTAGCCCTTTTTTGAGCCATGGTGGGATCATTAACACTAGGGTGTTAATTCCAAAATTTTCATTTGAGAATGGAAACATAATCCTAGTACTGGTAGGCAGAAGTGTAAGGCCTGAATGTACAAACCTCATTTGGGGAGATAAAGGGGCCTCTAAGCTAAAGAGCTCTAGTTCCCCCAGAGAAGTCTATGTACAGTATTTTTAAAGGATCATTACCTAAAGGAGAACTCAGCATTCTGGGCTAAATCTCCAACGAGGACCAAACTCCTCTAGAACATCCATAAAACTTTACACTCTTATCATGGATGCGATACCAATCATGATACTGAAGGCACGAGTTTGTATGGGGGCAAGTTATAAAAAGTTGGGCAAAGTCCAGTTCAGGAGTGAGTCTCCTTTGACCATACAGCTACAAACAACATAAGCAAAATTGACATGACTTTAATACTGCTGCAAAGGACATTATTGGCAAAATAGGCCCATGAGGGATGCAATGGTGGTCAGGTGAAAAGAGCAAAGTATAAGCAATCATAATGGGTCATATGAGGATCCTCTCCCAACAACCCAACAAGTACCACATTCTAATGGGATGTCTAGTAATCCTCCATGATCATCTGACTTTCATTACTTCAAATCTATTTTAGTGCAAACTTTTGATTAGACATTTCCTAAATGCAAAAGATGTCAATTTCATCACATTTAATTGTATTCTTGTCATTATGCAATTACTGCTGTTTGGCAAGCCCACCTCCACTCCTCAAGCTCTGGGTGGATCTCAGACTGACATGGGATCGAGTTTGGGGGGTCCATGGTCCATTTCAGGGCAAGCCATTCTCCCATCCACAGTCTCACACCTTCTACCTATGGGTTGAATGAGTGATTAGAAAGAAAAAAATTAATATAGAAATGGGAGGCAGACTAAAGGCATATTTGATGTCAGTTTAACATCAGGAAGAAAATACATCCCAAGGAGAGAGGGTTGTAATGAAGAGGAAGGGTTTAAGTTTGACATTCACACTCACTCTGACATTAGTGTTGAGAGATTCCACAAAAGGAAAGAATTCCAGAGTAATTGTCTTCTTCATTCCAGGTTCTAACATCACTGGGGTTCCATCGGAAAGGACTTGATCATACCTCGAACAGCTGAACAGCATCTCCACCTTGCGCACTTCCATCAGCTCTGGTGCGTGATTCCTGTCCAAAGAACGGCAAGGTGTCAGACTTCAAGAAAAGAAAAATGGAAAAAATATAAGGTATATTGAGCAATAAATGAGATAAGTTACATCTAAAATAAATATATAAAAAACAGCAGAAAACAAATACGATCAAATAACCTCTCATGAAACACCACAGTAAAACCACAGGTGCATAAAAAGTGGTTGATTAAAGAATGAAATGAAGTAGGGAATGGAGAAAAATGTGACACCATAAATACAGGGTGTTCAAAAAGTCACTGTGCAGTAGAATTCACAACATGACGTAGGAGGCCTCACTGTAACAAGGTATTACAGACAATATTTGAATTGGGGATGGTGCTTATATTTGAAGTATTGTGTGGAAATTCATGTCTTTGATGATGCAATACATGTGAAACGCAGTACAATACTAAATACATGCAACAAAATAAATTAATTCTACTGCACAGTGACTTTCGAACACCCTGTATAATGAACGACTGACTATTCACCACACAGATAATCAAAACTGTCATGATTTCTTTGCCAAAAAATGAATGGATGAGATAATTTCCAATAAAAGTGTTTTCCTGAGGTCTCTGCAGGTTCAAGAACAAGTCTGAGGCAGATCAAAAGAAGAAGTAGAATGTTCACTATCTTAAGGCAGAAGGGAAAAAAATGTTTGTTCAACTAGCATCTGAGTCATGGATTACATCTTGTGTTTGGTGCAGTTCTTCCTGAAACATTATAGTGATGACTTCTGCAATGTGTTCTTTGATTTCCATGGCTCATGTCTCTATTCTCCCTTCCCATCACAGGAAGGAATAGGAAGCCCCAAAGGTCCACCACCATGTGGTGATGCTACAGGTAGTTTTACCAGTGGATTAATGGTATAATCAATGCATGGGAGAGAGGCCTTCATGGATATTAGTACCCAATATGCTGATGCTGATGGATTTCACATTTCATTTTAAGGGGATATGCACGACAAGATGACAGTCTGTGTCTGCTATGAATGTAAAAGTGTGTTTTGAATAATGAGTACTTACATTCCAGTTCCCAGAAACAAAGAAATTCAGCTGTAGAGATATACTTTCTCTCCTATTCTATACCAATAGCTTTGCCATTTCAATTTAACAATTTTCCCCCATGCATATTTTTGTAGCATAGCAATCTGAGCAAATGCAATCAAAATTTAATCATGAAGCACATTGATGCTGACAAACCTCAACTTTGTCTGCATCAGTGTGAATTCCTGTCCCCTATATAATGGATTTGAGAAATTGGCATCTTTGGTAATGTGAACGTGCTGAATTTTCAATTAATCAACATCACAAAAACCAACCTGTATTGATTTGTTACTAGACCCAATCCATGAGAAACCTCAAAAAGCATGGTTCCTGATGCTATACCAGGACATGTTCAAATGGGGCAAAGTCTCACTTCACAGCAGCTAGAAGTCCTTTTGAAAACTTTAAGCTGGATCACACTTGTAAAAACAATGCAGTAGAGAAATACATGGCGCACTTAATAACTCGTACTTCACAGAATTATCAATTCTGCCCTTCAAGGATGCATGGGGTGAAGCACAGAAGCAAAGAAAGTGCAAAAGTTCACACCTGAGATGGAGCTGGAGAGAGAGCTTGCAATCAAGGGTGAACCTGGGGGCAGTGAAGCCAGCAAGGCATTCCACCATCCCAGTCATGGTAGACATGTCAATTTCAATCACCTGTGGGTGTTTGGACCGCTCTGCCCAGAGTTCCATTGCCACCCCACACACTTCACTTGGCAGCATCCCTTCTGGTATGGCAGGGTTCTATGACAAAAGAACCACATTCCAGCTCTGTCATCAGAACCATAGTTGAATCCTGCAGAAAAACTGAAATTCAGCAAAAGTGCATGGTTTGCCACATTTCCTTTGGTTGATTATGATTTCCCTCATTTTACAGAACTCCTCCCTTAAGCTATACGAACTATACAGCCCATCACCAGCTGCACTGCTTCTGAAGAAAGTTGATCTCATGCCACTTATCTGCAACATTCTGCTAAGTATAGGAACAGCTGGTTCCTTCGAAACCAAATCCTTACCCATTATAAAACATTTTAAAAAAATAAAGTGATCTTGTTGAATTCCACAAGCAAGAGACAAGAATGCTGAATGTTATCACATTATAAACTCAAAAATGGTCCATATAGGGCTTATAGAGAGTGCATATCCTGACACGTAATAGCATGAGAAACATCAAAGGGGGAAATATTACAAGAAAAGCAACCAGCAATGACATGCACAGAAAGAGCAAGAGCATACCCCATGGATGACCTGGATGAGTTTGTTGTGCAGAAGACGGCGGTTGTCGAGGGTGATCGTGGAACGGGGGCAGAGGAGCTCCAGGAGGAATGCAACGTAGTCCTCTGGGGAAGCTGTCACATATGAGTACAGCAGCCCCAACTGGAGGGAGGAAGTCAGGAGGCTCCACCACCCCTCCAGCCGGTACTCCCAGAGCACATGCTTGATCAACCTGTGAGCCCATTCTTAAATGTCATTGCCATTGCCTTGGATCTGCCATAGGTTGGTAAAGAGTTCCTCATAAAACTAAATCAGGTAACATTTATCTCAATATAATGAACTATTTTATATTCATCCTCATTTTGCTAAACTACATTCTAATTTTCATGCATATGATGCCTGGGAAGCTCAGATATTTACCCATTCCTCCTGAATGATAGGTGTCTTAGATTCAAAATACTTGCAAGATTTTGAGAAATGAAGGCTAGATCAAAATGCATCACTTGATGGAATCAACATGGATCATGCACTTTGGCACTGGAATCACTACTCATTGCCATGGGGGCATATACAGTTTACAAGTGAATATTGTTTGATGGATTAAACACCATATCCACAAAACAGGAGCTAAATGAGCTATAATTAAGATAGGAACAAACTACGACTTCTGTCAACTAACAACTTATATAAAATAATTTTTAAATTTATTAGAATGCAACAGTTATATCACATCCTATTCTTCTTAATTTCTCTCATTCACTTTTCCTCAATGCAAACTCAACCTTAAGAATCCCATGTTCAAGTACAGATACTCACGTCAATGCCTTGTCAAACTCCCGGCTGTTATATGACTCCTCTGCCATCTGAACCACTGCAAGAAATACATCATTTAGATGGCTAAGGCTTCTTGCCACCAAATTCACTTTTTATAAATTGCAAGATGTTTGAGGTTCTATTGGTCTTTAAAAGAGTGTCACTGGGTAACAAGTAGATAGATAATGGAAGACTCACTGAGCTGTCGCTTCATGCGGGGGGAATTGTACTTCTTGAACTGGGCAATCGCATTGCTCAACAGGTGTACTATCCGTTTCTGCATAATTTTCAGCATGACATCATCAATCAACATCTGTTCTTAGCCAGTCAAGAGTGTAACCAGAATGAATTACTTTAAAGGAGCCATAAATTACAGCTGATTGAGTGGAAAGAAAGGTGGAGGGAGCAAATAAAGGTTCAAGGTGATCCAAAGGCAAAAACATGAATTTTGGGAGGTGAATCCATAGATAAAACCTTGGAGTTTAACTGGCACATGTTTCATTCCCACATGCATTTTGATGTGCATTCAGCAGAGCAGTGACACAATAAACCGCTTGGAGTGATCAACTACTGAATCATTTCTTTTTCTTAAGATCAAACCTCTATGATCTCGGGAGTCACTAAGCATGTGACCTGTCAAGAGGTGCTCTGCCATGTGTACTGCTAAATGTCATCAAAATGAATAAGGGACTTGGGACAATGTCACTGTCTGTGAGACTTAGTGGGAAGTTGCCACTTTTAGTCATCCCTCAGAAAAAATTAAAACCCATGAACTTAAGAATGGGTGACTGTTGTTTGTATTTAGGTGCTTATATACGAGCTAAGAGAGACTGCATGCTCATAATCAATACATGTGAGAGAAAAAGGTGCCAGAATAAGAGACAATGTGAAAATATGATATTTACTCTTTTAAAAAATATTTATCTGGTAGGGGCAGGGGGAGCAATGGCCTCCCTATCACCACCCTGGTTATGACCATGAGTCAAGAAATTGATATGGTCTGAGCAAAACAGAAGCCATTTTTGGTCATTTAGGTTTTAGCTGGGAGAGAGTTATCTGAAAGACAAATCTGGTGACATGACTTACTTTTAAAGTGCAACTAGAGCAATTGCCTTTTCATCAAGAATCTTAGATGAAATCTTCATTAATTGCCAACAAATAGAACAAATGATGAAATCATAAAAAAAATTATTTTTGTAGTTAAAGCTATCAAGATGCTTCACTCATGTTTTCCTGTGGAGAAATCTGAAACAACAGGGAGAGTGACCTACCGAGTGGTTGAGTTGCTTCTCACGCCATTGGAGGGCAGCAAGGGCAAGGGCCTCTACGTTGAGTGAGGGATACTGCTGCAAGGCATGGATCCAGGGTCGCTGGCCCCAAAATTCCAACTGTGCCTCGCTCAGCAACACGTCTGGCTCTGGCTGCTCCACCATCTGCTCCAGTACCATTTCATGCATCCAGCAGAGCAGAAATGACTTTCACAATTCAGACACCTTTTTTTTATACTGCTCAGCTGACTGTGTAATGCCTTGTCAATATAATTCCCTTCAACTACAATTATAGAGAGCAATAAATATATACTGTTATCAGCTGAAACTAGGACTTTGATTTGGCAGCCTGCAGCCCATGAGTCATCTAAAAGATATTTGCATCTTTGAAGAATGACCATGTTCAGATTTCTCTTAACTGCATTAAGAGAGCATAAACTTAGGGAAGAGTTAACAGGCAAGTAATGAGGTGTCTATCTAGACAATGCACTATCCAATATCGCAACACATAGTACAATCAAGCACAGTTGAGATGAGGCTCAACTTCATTGGGATGCCTGCCTGGCACAAAATGAAGCAACTGGAAGGAGAAGGGGTCTGACCCTGGCCATGTCAAAAGCCTGCCGTCGCCGCAGGATGGCTTGGTTGGCTGCCAGCTGGTAGTAGAATCCAGGATGCTGGGTCTGAATTGCTGGGAGGCCACTCATGATTGCCTGTTCAAACAGCTCTGCAAAAAGGCTGTACCTGTGAGACAAGACAACATCCAGAATGCATCAAATGCTTGACAATCTTGCATGACAAAAGTCTTGTTCAAGAATGGAAATTCAGAAGGGTGCATGATGGAAATCCAGAATACAGTACATGGCTAAGCCACTTGAATGATATATTCAGAAGCCAATATTCACCTTGGGAGAAGTGTGACCTAGCCACATTGAGTACCATTTTTATATTGGGGCTCAATTTTCATGCATGAAATATGCAGTTTCTTCTACATCTCACCTCTCATAAGCAGTACGAGATAAAGGGCTCAAATATTTCTCATTGGAAACCAAAGAAAAAGCTATGCATAATGCATCAGCACTTAGATGTAGAGAACATAATTCTAGTGAAATGCTGAAGATGTCTGAATGAAGATGATTGTCTTCCTATGCATGAAAAACATGCTCTTACATGGTATATTAGATCTTCAACCTCTCCATTCTGCATTACAAAATGATTATACCCCTTAAACATGCTAATCAGATTGATGGCACAACAAAATTCACTGACTGCATACTCAAATGAAATTTCCCTCTTCAACACAACAGCCACCACCTTCCCACACATTGCACGGCCAGAGGATGTGATGACTCACTGCTGGCTCATCCAAGCACTGTGCTGGAAGGCAAGGTCTGGTGGGCCAATCTTGTCTGCATAGGATTCCACATGCTTCTTGAACTGCTGGATGGCCGGCGTGGGCAGGTGCTTGCGGAACTGGAGCTGGGAGATCTTGTACGATATGAAACCGGCCACCGTCTTCACCTCATGCACGTTCCCCTCTGACACTACCACCTTTCCCAGGTTTGTATATGCTTGGTTGTACAGCCTGTGAGACGGACCACAGTTATGTGCATACCTTGGAGATGTTCTGCTTGCCTGGAAGGATTTCTCACATGTAGGCCCTCCTTTTCCCCCCTGGTGCCTTAACAGGTAACTACATTTCTTATTCTTCCCATATGGAGGCACTTTCTCTGCTAGGAATCTTCTTGGGTATAAAAATACTAAACAAGATAGAGAAAATGTCTTCTTTCTTAAAAAAAATATGGCAAGACCAATGCCATGTTTTTGCTAGAACAAAAGCCTATAGTTCCCTACACATTTAGTTTCAAGGGAGGAAAATATTCCATGCCCTTCAAATCATTCAAAATTTTCATTGAGAAACTAGAGGCATATATAACCATCTTGGTCTTGAAAAAAGAAAATCAACATTTGACCTCTTTCAGATAACATGTTTAACAAGAAAAAATAGTAGGGGTAGAGCTTGTTTGGGAATTTACAATCCATGAAGAACAGTAAAAAATGCTGAAGCATTCATTTCCTACCAAATACTTCAGCTATAACTTTATAGACAGGTGATAAGAAATGGCATTCCATAAGGAGTTTGCACCTCCTGGTCTTAGACAAATTGTACTACAATAGTAAGTCCAATATTCAAATTGCTTATGTAAAATGCAATAGGTGTTGAAGGAGCAAGTCAATGGAAGGATACACTAAGAAAAAAATGGAATAACTCATAGGAACTATTTTACATCATTAAAAAATAAATTTTCTTGAAATGTGGCAGCTTGTCAAACTGGGATCTCACGGAAGGCCCACAGGAGAAGCGAAACAACTAATACGAATGAGAAGAGGGAAGAAACTGACTTCAGGGCACCAGGAAGATCCTGCTTGATCTCATGGAAGAAGGCCATCTTGAATGGGTGACGGACAAAGAGGAGCTGGTGGGTGGTATCATGGAGTCCCTCCCGGTGCGACTTGATCCGCCGAGCCAGCCACTGGTAGTATGTCCCTGCCATCTCAAATATCCCAGGTTGGATGCTGGGTGTGTGAAGCAAACAGTACAAAAACTGAGAGAAGAATTCCCTTGAATGGGCTCTTCAGTAAGCAGGCATTCTATCCCTTTGCATTCAAAAACACATCAGATCAAACAGTAGGAATAATCTCTTATTTTTTCATCTTTGCCATAAAGTTTATGGAAGAATAAAAAATATATAAACAATTTAAAACCATTATATCTTCATTTTCACCATACCAATTTTTACTACAGTTGCGTTGTGTGTAGATTGGTATCATCCTAAAGAATTTTGAAATTTCATCCAAGCTGACATGCCAAAGCAAGGTTATAAGCAATCGCTAAAAATAAATAATGAAGTGAAAATTGCCAGGGGACTCCAAGCCTTTCTAAGTGCATCTCTGACAAAGACCAGGGGAAAATCTGAATAAACCTTTGAGAAAACTCACTGTTTTACCACTTATTGATTCACTTGTCACTTACAATGAGTTTTATTCCCATCAACATGTAAGAAAATGGTGGTTTGAAAAAATGAATTTTAGTGGAAGACATTCAATGCAACCTTTGTGACACGAAAACAAAGCACCTGGACACGCCCCCCACTTCATCACTATTATGAGCTCTTGTCCATTTCCATAGTCCTCCACTTCATTACAAGAATGAGGTCTTGCCTATTTCAATTAATCCAATAACTTTTTAATTACCACTCATCGTCTTCTGATGAATAACAGAAATATGGATAAAATTTGAATATAAGATGGGAACATATTCATGTATGTATTGACCGAGTTTTGTGAAAATAGCTGAAGCAGGAGCAGAGATAGATATATAGATGCAAGTTTTGTATTTTTTTGCCAAACCTGTAAATTTACTTGCCTTATTGTCTTTAATTTTATGCAATAAATGTAAAATTTTATCATTTGTAGAGTGTTTAAAAAAGAACAATGCATGCAAACCAAGTAGAAGTTCATCTACTTTTCAGATCACAAAATAACCAAGAAGTAACCTCAGGAAGTGATTCCTCCTGCATTAAACAGGGAATATCAAGTGAGGCAGAGTAAGAGCATTGCAAATGAATAATGAAGCAAGAAGCTTGGTCATTTGGAAAAGATTAAAAGCATGAAAAGATATTACTGTTAAAGGCAAGATTTACTGATGAAAACAAAAGGTACAACAGTGTTGATTCTCAATTCAAAGTCCAGCTTTGGAAATGGTGAAATTCCTGAAGAATATGAGAGCCTACTGATATTAATTTAATACCTTGATAAAGAAACCTGTTTGAGTGAAAGAGCCTTCTAAACTGACAAAGCACATCAATGCCTAAACATGATCGAAAGTGCCATCACAATGGCACCATTTTTTTAAATTAGCAATTACAACCTGCAGTCATAAATGAAAAAAATTTTTTCATGGTGTTTTACACCTTATGCTCAAAGGAAGGGGTGGATACAGATACAAGGGTGTCATTACCAGAGAACCTGTTCCCTCAAATGATCAGCTGTGTTGAGGACAAATATGCTGCGGTTAGGGAGATTGCACAGGGAGCAGAGAGTGGCTGTGCGCTCCTGCCGGGTCAGTTCCTCGGCTGCTGACAATGCAGCCCCTCTGTGCAGAAGGACCAAGCCCAGGCTCGTGTCATGGCCCATCAATGATACCCTGCACACAAGTGATGGAGAGAAACATTACTCAATACCACACTACAAATGTGGAAAAGCAATGCAAGATATGGTAGAAAGCTCCTGAGACGATCAGTGAATTGGTAGCTTATGGGATAGCAGGGAAGAGTAACTTGATCTATTCAGAGGCTCTACTTTTAAAATTCAAGGCAACACACACATCAGTCATTTTTATTTTTCGCACAAAGAATTTATTACCAAATGCTAATTCACTGAATGTAGTCCTACTTGCTACAGAAATGAACTGATTTGAAGAGAAGCTGGATTATAGCCTAGTAGGAATTACACTGAACAGAGAGAGAATTTCATCTAGTCATCTTGGTGAAAGCATGATATTGCAGTCTTGTCAGCTTATGGGAAAGGGTGGGCTAACCTGATGTTCTGGACTGCCTTCTGGCAGGTGTCCCTGCCTTGGGTCCAGTTGGGTCCTGTGAGATCCAAATCAACAAAGATCATCACCACTGATGGGATGAGGTTCATGTGCTTCTGCAACCAGCCTCGCTTCAGGATCCCTCGTGGAATGTATCGATCATAATTCGCCTTCTGGAAAGATTATCTTGCCCTAGTTACTATCTTCCTCACCTCAGTTGTAACGTGGAGACAAATCCAAGAAGCAAAAAAAGTGAAAGTTTCCAGTGGTAAAGTGACATCATGGTTAGCTGCAGATAGAAGACTTAGAGCAGTTCTGATACATCAAAGTGAATGTATGGATTTAAAGGTACAAGGTTGTATCTCAAATCAAGCAGACCAACCACAGGTGAACTCATGCATTATTACCTTTGTGAGACCCATTTCAAGGGTCACCATATTGAGGCAAATCAACCCACTACTCATATCACACTAACTCAGAAAATTGCAAAGGACCACTTCAGCAGAGTCAAGCATGGCATATATCAGGTGATGAAAAAATGGAAGACAAAAGATGAGTTCATTTCCATGAAGCTCTATACTTGACCAAAGATGAACAAAGAAAGGGAGTCTGAAATTCCTATGTTCCGATACATTTACCAGCATATTACAATAATTTCACCAGCAGATGAATGGCAAATGCTTCTTACCTTGGGTTTGGGCTTGGGGAATTCATGCTGGGTGGTGAATAGGACAACATTAATAGGAGAGGAGTCGTTTCGCAAGGCAAACACGTCCCACACTGCCTTGTGGATGGGGTCTGCTGCCAGGTCCAGGCCCACAAACCCCACCAGGGGCACCGGGTATGTCTGGAGCTCCCGAGGGAACACCTCCTCTGGAAGCAGGGAATACAGCATTCACGACATGTTGCCACATTTGAAGTGCACTGAAATCTCTTAACTCAAAGACAAGCCTCAAAAGTGGGCCTATTTCCTGTCCAAGTAAAATAAATTTGAGGTTCAATCAGTTCAAATGATGTCATTTTGTACGGTGCAGTCTTGAGTGGAATATACTAGGAGAAAGTCTTCCATTCCATATTAGAAGCAACTCTTTAGGGATGTAGATGTAGAGCTTCCCATTGAGCCAGCAGAGAATTCAAACAAGACCTCTAGTCTGTCACAAATGACACAACAAGATGGGATAGCCAGTGCCTGGAGTCTACACCACTGAACAGGTTAAAGTCCTGGAATCCACAATGAAGAACCCAAAACCCTGAATCAGATTGCATTGGATAATGATCATTGATGGATCCAGTATACTCCTCAGATCAGGGAAAATTCTACAAGGAATGATTATGAACTGGATAGGGGAAGAGACCTTCAAGAAGGTTGCCAGTATGGCAAGAAGAATTAGGAACCAGACAAGTGAGGGCCAAAGACTAAATGCCTTGATGCTCCTTAGAAATCCCTTGCATAAAGGAACTACTCAATCATTGGGGAAAAGTCTCTACTCCAAAATCAGTCATGGCAAGTCATAGGCCAGACATGACCCAATGACCAGAGTCTGTCATGGAGGGCAATTGAACCTAACAGTTCTTAAATGAACAGGAAGAAACCCCATCTACAGCCCAGAAAGTAGGGTGACTTGGGATTTGGCTTTGAAAGCACAAGTGTACCATAACTTCATGAATTCTGTGTTTTCAGATGAAAGGAACTCATGAGGTACAACAAAAATCAACTCACCTGGGACTTCTGTTTCCACCGGCATCACAGTCTAGTATCACCTCTGTTGGAACCCTGTGATGGGGACAATGTGCTTGAATTCAGTTCAGAGAACTTGTCTGACATTTAAAAAACAATGAAGATACTTTGTGCAAAATTGTTCTTTTGTCACCTGAGTTGGGTCTGTATCATTCAGGCTGCTTTGGAGACTGCATGGCTCACTGAGCAGGTTGCTGCTCACTCTAGCAACCAGCAGTCACAAAAAGCTACAAAATATGATAAAAACTATGTGGAATGAGAAGGAAGAGAATTTTCTTACAAAAATGAAGTGCTTTATTCTTCCACTCAAATAAATGCAAGACAACATAAGAATCAGCTAGCTTGAAAATAAAAAAAAGCATTGAGATTCAATAGAGATTCATGAATGAGAGTCCCAATCACAAAGATTTTAGGACAATTCATATTTCTATCCCGTGGCCCAATCAATGGGAGGGAACATTACACTCAGAAAAAAAAGGTGAACATAAAAAATACCCTCCAGAGCTACACTGAAAGAACCTGGCACTAGAAGACACCATATTCCCTCAGGAGGCAATTGGCAATGACAAGGCGCTGGATTTCTGAGGTGCCCTCGTAGATCTCAGTGATGCGAGCGTCGCGGTAGTGTCGCTCTGCTGGCATGTCTGTCACATAGCCCATCCCACCCAGGATCTGCATTGCCTGGTGTGAGATGAATGTTGCTGCCTCAGAGGCTGCCAGCTTCGCCATTGCAGCTTCCTGAAGCAATCCCAAATGATTTATCATTAGGTTTCAAAAGAAAATTATTCATGGCAAGGAAAGAGACAGAAGGCGATCCATCTATTTTTATGCAGGGCATTCTACATATCTCTGACACATTTGAAACACTCAGAAGTCACACAGCATTATTTTTTGTTCTGTGAATAAAATGTTTCCAAATGCCTTCCATTCTGATTGATGCACTTTCTGCATCAAACCAAAGCATTATTCATTACTGCCTGCTATGTGTTTCTCTCAATGGTAGTGATAGCTTTCCTAATTCTGTTCTTTAGGTCATCAGCAATCCTTGGTTTTGTGTGATACACATTTTTAGGAAACACCACAGAAAAATATATTAGGGGCTGTCAAGTCTGGGTAGTGGGATAGTAGTAGTAGTGGATCATGGGACCATGGGAGAGCACCAAATCATGAAATGATCCATTTACCATAATTCCTTCTTCCCCCCTTGCTTCCCCAGACTTCATATCAGTATTTAATGTTCTATTTGCTTGTTATTAGTTAGCTAATCTTGACTTCTAAATCCTGTGAGGATTTTTAAGAAAACAGCTGCCAAAGCTGCACCCATCTCCTTCAACATGTCTAAAACAAAAGAAAAAAAAGGGCTAACAGATTTAATTTAGTCACAATCTCAATAAGGTCCACAGAATTGTATGAACATGGGGCCAGATTCCCATGCAAAAAAATCTTGGAGGGGATGAAACAACCTTAGTATAAGGAAGGCCTTCATCCTTGCGCATGGCAGCCTTGTAAGTCAGAAGTCGTGCTGACTCCATCCTCACCTCCATGTCTGCCAATTTGTTCTTATGAGCATGACAAAACAAAACCAAAAATTAAAACAATAGAATATCATCCCAACAAATGGTCCAGTGATTAAGGGTCGATTCCCACCTGGATGGCTTGGATCTTTCCGATGGGCATCCCAAAGGCCTGTCGCTTCCCTGAGTAGTCAATAGCTACTTCAAGGGCCGCCTGGCCAATACCCAAGGCCTGGGCTGCTACTCCGATTCTACCTCCATCTAAATGGAGAGCACTGTATAATGTGAGGATATAACAAAGCATTAAAAAAAACTAAAGGCACCACTGCCAGCAAATAAAATACAATAAATGAAGAATGAAGTTGACAGAACAACAATAATAATCAAGTGAATACCCTGATGAGTTAATACAAGCTTTATGTACATTCAGGAATGCCATATCCAGCTGTGAATGACAGTCTTCCTTAAGTATGAACAGATCACGGCATCTTGCATTATTGTGACAACAATAAATAATTTGTAGGGGGAAAACCTTCCAAGTTCAGACACAATAAAATAAATTGTTATACAACAACATTTGTGAGGTTTCTGTCAGAAGCATTTCTTCACAGCTAGGAAGAGATGTTTCTGAGGACTACTTCGCAAATGCTTAGCTGCATAACAATTCATTTTATCAAGTCTGAACTTTGGTACTAAGTGAACTTAGTGATGGTTTTACCCTACCATGATTTTATCAATATCATGTAGGCCTGCTGCATGCACAACTCATCCACTTTGTTATTCACTACTATTGATTATTCACAGAAGAGACTTTCCTGGAGAATTACAGTGGATGAACATTAGTTGCACGATAAAATTAAATTGAAACAGAAAAAACAGCTTTATAGTAATATTTTATGGCTCATTTATGAGATCTGCCCACCCACCAAGAGTGTCCATGGCAATCTTGAAGCCCATCCCAAGATCTCCCAAGACATTCTCCTTGGGGATTTCACAGTCCTCCAAGATCAGGTTGCAGGTTGATGAGGCTTTGATCCCCAGCTTCTCTTCCTTCTTCCCCAAGGCCAGACCTATTACGAAGAAATAGGTGTGGGTCTGTTAATGAAATTACCATGTGTTGTGGGCATAAACTGATTAGTTGAGAATCTTCAGGGGATAAACATGCAAGATATCAATGAGAACAAAAAGATGAAGTTAGAGACATTGAAATTAAAGAAATTAAATTACACTATTTCCAGAGGTTCCACCTCAGCAGGTGATAGATAAAACAACCCATGTGTAAAATGTTACTACCTGCAATCGATGGAAACACTCCTATAGGGGGTATGAATTCAATCTGGAAACAGTGTATTAGGTTGTCCCAAAAGTTCTTTCGTAATTCGTGCGAATGGCGTTGCTAGGCAATAGAACAGCAGATAGTGTGTTCTACCGGCTCTTTTTTGTTTTTTTCACGTTCACGTGTCTTTTCTCTTCCTGACAGTGTGTTTTGCTTGCGGATAAACCACTTCATTATTTTCGTGTGCGTGCTGAAAAATGGATAGCCAGGAGACATTTTTGCCATGTGATATTGCACTGCTTCAAAAAAGGCATCAGGGCTGAGGAAACTGTAACTGAGATTTGCGGCGTTTACGGGGACCATGCTGTGACTGTCCAGACCATTCGCACTCTGTCACACTTGTCACGCACTCTTCTGAATCTTCTGAACCAAGTGCACCAACCTTCTGAACCAACCTTGGTTCAGAAGATTCAGAGTGCGTGACAAGTTGAAACTTTTGGGACAACCTAATACTTACAAATGTGAGGAAAAGATGTCGACTGAGCTCCATTACTAAGAGGAAAAACTGGGATGCATATAAAGATCATGAGGAGACTCACCTTTCATTGGTAAGGCAGTGATGAAGGCACTAATGCCTTTGTGCTTTTTGTGCCGGTCAGTCGTGGCAAAGATAATAGTGGCCTCTGCCTCATACCCATTGGTGGTCCATGCCTTTGTCCCATTGAGGACAAAGTTCTCACCTCTGTGTTTCGCTGTTGTGGATGCAGCACCTGCAATGTGTGCATGCATGGGATTTGAATCAGTTTTTTGTTTGAACAAAGCTGCATCTCTCTTGGAATTTGATGCTGCAGGAAGCAGAATGGTGCCATTTACAGAAAAAGATGGGGAAATTGCCTTGCATATAAAAGCTTCCATCAAAACAACAAACATGCATTTACAACTGAAGATTTCAGTGAGAATGAAATTTCTTTAAGAGGTATGACTCTCAGACTATTACAACTTAAAGACATGACACTGGTAAGATGAAGAATCATGAATTAACAAGATCATGCTTTCTTGCAAGTCAGAACACAAAATACTTGGCCTAATTTCATTGTTCATAAGCTTGTACATATGCCATCAAATTTCAGAGCACAGCTCCAAATCATTTAAATTTGTTGTGACTAAATTCAAAATTTGAAAGCAAATAACATGATATAATGAGACAATAATGGACTTTTTGGCATAAATGGTCTGAAAGGAACCAGAAAGGGAGGCCTGGCAGACCTGCATCACTGCCGTTGCCAGGCTCGCTGAGAGCAAAGCTACCCACCCGGGACCCATCAACATACTGGGGCACCCAATGGTGGCACTGGACCTTGGTCCCATACTTGAGGATTGGGGCAAGGAAGAGGGAATTGTTCACACTCATGATGATCCCTGTGGAGGCACAGCCTCGGGAGATCTCCTCCATGGCAACTACGTATGCGAGGCTATTCAGACCAGCCCCACCAAGGTTTGGTGGTACTTCAATTGCCATCAAGCCAAGCTCACCCATCTTCTTAATCTGTAAGAATTAGGGGTAAAAGTGTGAGGTTATGAACATATGAATAGGTATTGCTTGAATCAATCAAAAGAATGGGTAGAGAAAATCAATATATTCTAATTTGAAGACAACATACCTAAATAAACAAACACTGGCATTATTTAGTAAATAAAGTGAAAATTCAAACACATAGAACGGGAAATAAATTTACCAACATTGGAATGAAATGTTGAAGAATGAATTAAGAACATGATGAGGACTGAGATTATGAATTATTTTCTAAGTACCTAAATGTATGTATACCAAAACAGAAAATACTCAGGAATATAAAATAAGAAATGAGATGAATACTCCTATCAACAGGGCAAATGCAACTCAGTAACAGAGAAAATAAAATAAAAATACCCAGTACCTGTTCCTTGGGATAACGGCTTTCCTTGTCAAGAGTACCAGCAATAGGCTTCAGTTCCCCATCTGCAAAGTCTCGGCATGTCTTCTTCAGCATTGCTATCTCTTCAGGCAGCTGTGCCAGGGCTCGGAAGCCTCGTGCAACTGTAGTGATGGGACAGAAAATCTTCAAAATGCAACCAAGAACATAACTGTATGAAAGAGAAAAGGTAAGTGAGTTGCTCACTTGGAGAATCATGCCTCTGCACAAGACGGAGCAAACAAGAAGAACGCAATGGATTCATCATCCCACTGGTCAACTGCAACTGGAATAACATTTTCCTTAAATGCATTCATTAAAGTTCATAATATCCCAGTGTTGCCAGCATGAGACACATAAGGCCGATACCAATGGTGACATGAGCCACCAATGGTTGAGAGTGATGGTCGGCAGTGCCAAAGAGATCACAGGAAGAGCTTTTCTCAGTTTCCAAGGTGAACATTAACCCAAACATCAGGTAAACAACTATTCAAAAAGACATCAGTGGACTGGTCAGAAACAAATTATCACACCTTTTATTATAAAGGAGCCATAAATCTCAAAGCCACATATCTCTCTCCCTTCTCAAGAGAAAATACTCCAAATACTCTCACAAATACAAATGCTATAGAATAATGATAAAGTGACATCTGTAGGAAAAAAATGGAGAAAAAACAACTAGACAAAGCATGATAAGCAACGAAAACAGGGCCAAAGGGCAATTACAAATATGATGCCTTTGATGGGAAAATCTGATCAAGACACTTCACTTCTGAAGTTGTAATCCACCCAGGTGGGAGGTGCTGTGGCTTGTCAAGATTGCAAAAATTTGTGGATCTCATGCCAATGATAGTGAATTCTGTGAAGAAAAGGCATGTCAAATTTTCTGGGATGAGGGGTCTGTCTACCATGCAGCAAGGGGTACACTAATGCACAATGCCCAAAGGCACAGTGGCACATGGGATGAAAGCGAAAAAGCAGCGCAACTTCTCACTGACCACCTTAGAAATGGATTGGAGCCATATGACAAAGAAGCAGAGAGAGATCACTGACAATCACTCACGTGACAGATTTTGTACAAACAAGATCTTCATTTTGTGATTTTATTTTTTTTATGGCACCAATTCTTCATGCATGCAACCACTGACAGAGTCTCATGATAGGGAGTTTCTCACAGATATGTGAAACTTTGCATCCTTGACTACTCCTCTGCTCCTCCTCGTTTGATATATAAAAAAAAACTAATTGGTGCATTAATAAAATCAACTGCTTCAGACAAACAACATATTCATTTTGTGTTTCTAATATATCTATAATCAATGGACAAAAATGTAAAATAAGAGAAGATAAAGCTTTAGGACAGTTATGCCCACTGGGATCTAAAATGAAAATCAACTGGATTGACCCAGCACAGAGGTGCATGCAATTATCAGCATTAGAGGAAAAAGTACAAGAGTGCTCCTTTACATTCCATAGCAATTAATCATCAGTTCCAGTGAAGCATGGAACTTTTAACGTCGTTACGAAAAAGCTAAAACCAACAGCACAAATGCATGAGGCATAATGGTTGGTCCCACACACAACTGAAGTTCCTTTTACCTTACCTGGCTTCAACCACATACAGACCTCTGTGGAGCTAGAAGCACTGACTGCATTGTTGCTGGCATGGAAAAAGAAAGCAACAGAGCTTTCCTGTAAGGGAATTCTTAAATGTTTTTGGTTGCTCTCATGAGAAAATCAAAGATACAATAAGCTGTTAGGCATCTGGGAAGCTCCACATAGAAGGGTTTTGATATGTGCTTAGCAAACACTCAAGGAAATAATTTTGCTGTTGGTGGCGGGTTTGGGAATCCCAGAGCATTGATAATCACACACAAAGAGCAAAAGGCCCAGGATGTTCACCACCTGATTTTTTGGGTTTTCACCTTTCAAGCAATGGGATGGATAATTCCAGGTTTTTCGTTGCATTTTTTCATAGTAGAAGTTTTGATGCACAAATATTATGCTGACATATTTTTCCTAGGAAAGAGAGGAGCTTCAATTTGTATCACCAAAAAGGAGATAATGACTACTTTCATGAAGATCCAAATATTAGTGAAATCAGTCTGGCACACCCAAAGAGATAAAAGAGGTTAGGTCCAGTAATTTAATGTCATTCCAAAACAAAACAAACCCTGAGTGTGAATCATGACTGCAAAAAGAAGCAACTACACCAGGACCACATTAGTTGCAGGGAATGACTTTGGGAGAATTAGAACTTCAGCTTGAGACATATAAGATCTTTGACCTTCACTTGAGACCATTTTTGCACACACCTCATCAAGCACATTGGTAGAAAGTTCTCATGACAGAACTGAAGATAAAGCTGGAAATCCAGTTAGGTTGGTAAGTGAACTAATCAGATGAGGTGATGTAGTCTTGCTGTTAGCCACAACATATTAATGAAGTGTTGTACAGAGATGCTCCAACTTGTGGTTCAATACAATGGAGCCAAGATTCACTAGTTTTATCCAGCAGCACCTTTGTGGCTGAGGGAAGCACATCAAGTCATTGCATGACAATTTTTTTACTTACAAGACAAAATGGAATATGACTTTTTTAATAGCAATAAATGTATGACACTTTCCTGGACGTGAAACAATGTCATACATTGAACCAGGCCATTAGATTAAAGCATGACAATAGCCAATCAAAAGTGTGACCAAGCAAATGATCAATAAAGACCTTCAATACTGCCAAGGATCAGGGAGGTATAAGTAGGATAAGGAAAGCAGGCCTAGAGCTGCATTCTTGAGTGTACTGCAGCTAAGAGATCTTCACAAACTTATTTTAAAAATCTATCTCAAACTAAGAAACAAAATTTTCCAGGACTGAAAACTCATTTTGCAAAATCATTACATTTCATCTGAATGTGAATGCAGCCAAAAGCCACCAGATGTCCCAAACTGCTTCAAAACAAGCAACAGCCTACAGCCACTTACTCCTTGCATACAGATTCAGTGTGAGATGAAAAAAGAAAAACAGCATTGAGCAGCAGACATGGTAACATGAGCAGAGGCAGGATTTTCCAGCTTGAGCCGGGGGGAGGGCTGGACATCCCTCTGTGATGACGTGCAAATAATACGGTCTGGCAGGCCTGCTGTCACTCGGAAACAGTTAAATCAGCACCACTGGAAACACAACAACCTCCCAATGTCCAAGAGGATATCATGGTTTCATTTGGTAGACCCACATATTGTTTTCAGAGATGCAAAAACTAAGTCTTCGCCACTATCTCATGCATCTGCAAAATAACAATAAACATGACTACTGGAATCATACAACTGACCAAGTCAACTGAACAGAAAAGCAAGTATATGGAGTTATTTCAACAGGTTCTTACCTAGATGCTAGCAGCACTTTGACTTTGAAGGTGCTTTCCTCCTGTTTTTTCTCAAATTCACCACATCTCCACCCTGCTGGGCCTGAATGAGCAATTGGCTCTTCTTTGTTGCCACTGCTTGTCTTGTGATGGCATTGAACATCTTCAAAACCAACAAGTTGGCAGCATTAGAAAAGCAGAGAGGAATTCAAAAGACATATGAGAAAATCACAGGGTTATGATGGGTGCTTTGGTTTCTTGCTTTACACCATTCATACAAAAATTAATATGAGTAGCCTTTAGAGGCAGAGGAGAAACTCCATTGTCACTTGCTGGAAAAGCAGAGGGACACAGGCAAGGTGAATTTTGGATGTTACATAAATATATGTGTCATAGGGTTTTGTGGAATTCAGGGGGATTCCAAATCACCCAGATTAGCTGCTGATGCTTCTATCATTTTGTTTACCCTGGGACCAGGGAGTTTATTTGGGACCAGGTCTGATGGAGAAAGCTTGAGGTGTGCCAGTGGTGCACCTCATGCTTTTGCCATTTCTCCAATAGTGAGAAGAAATGGCAATAAGGTGGAATAGCAATTACTTCTTTTTTTTTTTCAAAGTAGTACTCAGTTCAGAAAATTTCAAGAATGTCACAAAATTCCACAAAACCCTATGACATATGCATCAAATAAATGGTTAACTCAGATTAAATAAAAAAACCTTCCCATCGAAAGTCACTGAATAGACACTTGTCGCTGTCTAAGACATTTCAACACCATGCTACCTTAGAGTTTCACCTGCCCTATTCCCCCACCCTCAACCCACTCAAGGAGAAAGGAGGGATACTTTGATCTTCTCACTGAGTCCACAGCAGAACATGATCCTAGATCTTCTCCAGAATTAGGAAAACTACTTACCCAACAACTACAACTGCTTTTTTAATTCCAATGTCCATGACATGATTCTTTAATCACACTACTTCTTAACAACACTGCATACAGAAGAAAAGTGAGTAATAGGAAAGGTTATTTGCTTCCGAAAACACTAACCTGGTACTTCTAGCTGCAAGAAATAGATCAAATTGAGTTGCATAATAAGAGCAAAAACCTTGCAAACACAAAGATCAAGTGGATGCTCTACTAAAAGAAGCTGACAATATCTTCTATTGTGATTCTTTCCCTACCATTTGTATATTCCTTTCATTTGATTCCATTTTCTTCAGACTTCAAGTTTGGAAACAAAACAATTCTAAGAAACAATAAAATGTATTCATTTGCTTTCTTATCTTCCTTTAGGTCTTTTCCCCTGCAATGAGATATGACAGACTCTTCCCTTACTTCTTCAACATTGATGTTGTCCTTGGCAGAGGTCTCAAACATCTGTATCTCCATCTGTTCCGCAAACCTCAGTGCATCCTCCCTCATCACGACCTTGCGACTTGGGTCATCATTCTTGTTCCCCACTGCAAGATGGAAATTCCAAACTTGAATGTTGTTTGTTCTACCTCTTTACATCTTCAGAAAATATATGCATATGGAAGGTGGACCAAGCTCACCCAATATCCTGCAAACAGTATCACAGTTTTGGTCAATTTCATGGAGCCACCGCTTCACATTGGCAAATGATTCTCCATCTGTGACATCATACACGATGATGACCCCATGAGTTCCTCTGTAATACCTGCAGATTGAATAACAGGTATTGGAACAAGCTTCAGTTGCACCATGCACTCAAGATACAGTCAAATTGGAGGAAATTTTTAAGTGGAGTTCATTAAAGTTTCTCCACCATACATTTTGACTAATCCTTTTGAAAATTATGAATCATCCAGCCATTCACATCTAAAAGAGTAAAGGCCTGTGCTTGTGATCCTGGTCATGACCACCACAAGCATAGCGGTAGGTATTTAAACTTGTGCATGGAAAATTTCAAGGCCTAATTAATCATGAAAAATTACTATCTGATTGGGAAGAAAGTTCTCGGAATTTCATGAACAATTATTACAACCCAGTTTATTTAAAAGCAAAATCATCTCAATCATGAATGTAATCACCATTGGCCTCTATCACTTCACGCCAATGTTTATGCAAACTATGGATGCCATTCCAATAGAACTCTGGCGGCTGCGCTACGAAAAAGTTGGCCAAATCGGTTTTCAGGTCGTCTCGGTTGGCGTACTGCTTTCCACCCATGTGACGGTCCAGGGCAACGAAAAGGTGATAATCGGACGGGGCAAGGTCGGGGCTGTAGGGCGGATGCGGCAGCACCTCCCAGCACAGGTCCAGTAACTTTAGA